TTCTATAAACCCCCCAAAAACTGAAACTAGCCTTTGGGCTCCTTTGGGAGGGGGGCCCAACGGCTATATTCCTGGGCAGGCTGTGCTTCGTGTCGTGCTGCGGGCTAAACTAGTTGTTATATAGCTGTTGGGGGGCATTTATGTCATTTTTTCAACCCCCCATAAGCAAAATATAGAAATACCCCCCTAATATGGTTGTTTATGAAATACCCCCCCCAAAAGCTGACTATATTCTTGGGCAGGCCGCACTTGGCCCGTTATGGGCCTGGTGAGCTGTGTTGGCCGACCCATGGGCCTCGAAACCCCGGCCCAGCACGGCACTGACCTCCATGTCGAGCCTGGCACGACCCATTAGCCGTCGTGCCAGGTCAGGCCAAACGGCCCGTCTCGATTTACACCTCTACTATTCATCAGCATTTATAGGGGTTTTCGATGGGTCAAACATCTTTTGGTGTCATGTCTTTCCCCATCATTAGGGGTGGCCACGAGCCTAGGGCTCAATTTAAACCGAGCTTCGAGCCGAACTCGAGCCAAATTACAGGCTCGATTAATAAACAAGCCGAGCTTGAGCCTAATAGAGCTCGACTCATGAGGCTCACGAGTCGAGCTCAAATATATATATAATAGAATAGAAATATTATAATTCTTAATTTTTTTAAATATCAAAGAAACAATATTTTTTATATAGCTCAAGGTTCTAGCTCGAACCGAGCTTGAGCTCGAGCTCGCGCCATGTACTTCCTAGGCGAGCCAAGCTCGAGCCTTATACTATTCGGCTCAAATCCACCCCTACCCATTATAGATAGACTGTTATTAAGGCTACATTTGAAATTGGTGTAAATCAAGAATGAGTAAAAGTTTACACTGGTTCGATTTTGTCAGTGTTTGAAAGGAATGTGTAATTATGATTGATGTAAAACTCCGTTCCGGTTCAATTTTACGTACGTCTGAATGGAATGGAGTTTTACATCGTAAATCAGTATAAATCCTTATCAAACGTAAAATTTTACATCGATAAAACTTTACATCAATCACATCACGTTTTTCAAAAATACGACAATCACTTCTTCATGGTTCAGTGTAAAACGTCATCACTGTACTTTACACTGATAACGTTTTGCACCGGTTCCAAACACAACCTAAATAGTCTTTTGTTAAAACCATGTTATATTACCAACAATGTATCTAGCACCGATCTCGGAAAAAACTTGGCTGTCTAAATTCAAAAGCCTGTGCTTTCCAGAGGGCTTTCCCTATATGACACATTAATCCATAAAATTCCATACAACAGTAATAACACTGAAAGCATGGTTGTATGAACTAATGTGCCACATTGAAAAGCCCGGACAGCACAGGCTGAGAGTTTTCTCAACTTGAGGCACTAAAACATGGTTAATCCAGTGGGTTGCTATCTATCTAATGGAGGATTAGTTTAATGGATCTGATAGTAAGTCGGCTTCAGTTAAGGTTTTTTTTTGAAGGTGCTTCAGTTTAAGGTTGACATCTTAATCCCTGTAATTGTATATACTTTTACGTTGTGAATGATAAATGTATTGATTTGTTTATATATGTTTATAGGTGAGAGGGTAAGGTGATAAGGTGATGGCCAAAGGTGTTTTATTGTAAAACATTGTTACAATTTGGGTTAATGATTAGGTATGAGTTATAGGTAGAGTAGAGGTTTTAACACATCAAATTGAGTTAGGATTGACCTCAACTCAAGCCAAGCCACCCCGAACTGTACCAATAGACCTGTTCATGGGCCGGGTAGCCCGATGGCCCAGCCCAGCCCATTCTTGGTCAGGCTTGGATAGGAATTTAGGCCAATGGATTTGGGCTCAGACCCAAAACATCAGACCCGATCTTTTTGGGCCAGGCTCAGGTTCATCTTCTCTTTTCTCGAGTTATACCGAGATCTTTTAGTATTTTTCATTTTTGAAGTCAATTTAATATAAATAAATCACTTTTATTGTTAAATAAAGAATACAAATCTTTTTCTCAATTTCTTGGCCAGGCTTCAGGCTCGGGCCCGGGCTTTGGGCTTCAGGCTTTATATGAAGGCCAGGCTTGGGCTCAAGATCTAAGCCCGATGGTTATGCCGGGCTCAAGCTCGGGCCTGAATATGTTCTGTTGATATAAAGGCAAACCCAGCCCGGCCCATGAACAGGTCTATGCACAAACCTGATAACCACGTGCATCCTAACTACTCTAACCCACACTAACATGATAACCATCACAACAGCTAGAGATCTTCTCTATAGAACCTATTCTCTTTCACCATGTGGAGATGTGGCTAATCTTACTTATAGGGATGATGTTGGCCAGTGGAGATTGTAGGACGGACCATGTTGTGACCCAACAATTTGCCATGTGGAAAATTCTTTGGTTCAGCTTTTTGTGGCAAGAGATCACATCTGCGCCCTGCATGCACATCTCAACGTGTACTAGGAACATCTCTTGAAGTTGTCAATGGGAGATGTTTCCAATACACAGTTGGGATATGCTGTGGAGAGCAGATGTGGATTCTTTTGGCAGAATGATCAAACTCATAAACAAGTCCAGATCACCTGATTCACCTGCCAATAAAAAAACATAGGTATATTGGTCAATGGGAACCAAAATACGACAACTTTCCCCTCTCACGGGTCCTAAGAAAGAGATGATGGAACTGTGACACAGGGAAGCATACTGGCGGGGTTAAGCTAGGTGATTTACCGTGCTCCCACAAAGTTCACCGCAAAGTTCTCCATGGTGCACAGAAAAGGCCAACTTTGCTGAAGGATGGTAAACATGAAGTTCATTTGAATATGATTTCATCATGCGTACCCCTGAAACTTGTGCCTGGAAATTGGTATCCTTAAAATAACTGTAGAACTAAACGAACTAATACCCCAGTTCCACAACATTCAAAGATCATAGAACAGCTCAAGGATTAGGATTTAGGACCAGATAGGGTGCGACTCGTGTTTACCAAAATGAGACATCCACTGTCCCAAAATACAGCTCAACTCATCAACATATACATGCAATGTGGCTCACAATGGATAAACTCCTAAGTATTACATACCTGAACTTTAGATGGTGGATCCCTGTTTACTTTGGAACTTGAATTGTCTTGCCAAGGTGAAGAACTAACTGTAACACTTCAGGGTAAGAATTTCACTGACCCATATGTGTTTCCAATTAAAGGAGGTAAGGACAAAATAGGAGGAAAAAAAAAAAAACTACTAAGGTACTAGCCCAGGAAAGGAAACCCATTAGATTTGGCTCCATGCATCAGCATTTAGGGAAGTGTAAAAAAGGATTTACTCAAGTTGATTGAGAAGCGTTTCAGCCATCAGCATCAGCATCATCAAGTCTATTAATTCTCCAATGATAGTTTAAGATCAACACCTCTTCTACCATTTCTGCTAACGAGGGACTTGTAAGTTGCATTTTCAAGGCATCCAACTTGCCTCAAAACTTCAATCAATGCATCCTTGCTTGCTATATCAGATTCTTCCTCACAAAGAGAAAGGAAGGCAGACACATTTGTGAGCTTTGGTCGCCAGTTCTTTGCTCCCTCAGCTACTGAGGCTTTCTTCATACAAGACAAGGCCTCAACAATTTGTTTTTTCTTGATATGCCCTTCAGCAATGATTTCCCATGTGTTTGAGTTTAGCTTCCCTCCCACTTCAGTCACATGACTGAGAAAAGTCTCAGCCTTTTCCAATGAACCTTCTCTAACATACCACCCAATGAGAAGATTACAAATTCTAGGATCATAGTTTGACCTAACCGAAAGCCATTCCTCATAAATAATTTCTGCCCCACTTATGTCACCTAACCTGACCAAAGATGCAATCATTGCATGGTAGCCCAAATTTGGAATGCTGGGGAAGTTTGATTTGTACTTGTTCCATATCCGATAAACCTCCTCCTTACTGCCGATGCCACCATATAAGCTAAGGAGATAATGATACGGCATCCGATCCCGACCTGTAATTCTGATCTCAACCTTCTTCAAGCAATCTTTGGCCTTCTCAAAGTAGCCCATCTTAATGTACATAGTAGCCATTGTGCTGTACGTAGTCCAGTTAGGGTTGATGGTGCCGTCCAAACTCATCTGTTCAAACACTTGTTCCATCTTCTCCATGGACCCCATGGCTCCACAAGATGATAACCATATATTATAGGAATATATATCCAAAGGTATTTTCTTCTCCATCATTTCAGAAATCAGTGAATTGGCTTTCTCATATTCATTGAGGTTCATGTACAGAGTCATCATTACATTATAAGGAAGTGGATGATTGGCATACCCTTTCTTTCTCATCTCCTCTATCACATTCTCTGCCTTTTCTCTCATTTTCGACTGGGCGTATGCATTAAGAAGAGACCCATATGTGCGCCTATCCTTTAATGTCTCTGGTAGTCTTGAGAAGTAATCTTCAGCAGTTGAAATTCCATGCACTTTAGAGATAAGATCTAATTGAATTGCAGCATCACTGGAGGCTACTCTAAACCTATCTCCTTGGTTGGTCATCCACTCGTACACCTGCAAGATTTTCAGAAGTTCAGTAATGATGATAAAAGAATTGTGGAACCTTCAAACACAACACAAGGCATTATTTTATTTAAAGAAAATTAAAAGGAGTGTCAATTAGCATGGTGCTGAACATGAGCATCTCCTACAACACTAGGGATCATAAAACCTACAAAATGAATGGCACAAATTAGAAAACAATCAAAAAACAGGTAAGCATTCTTCTAGACCTTCCTTTTCCTGATTCCCAGTTCTACTTTCCTCTTTTATCTTTTTCAATAAAATTTTGGGTAGTTTTTCTCTCATGATCCTAAACTAAGAAAGATACAATGCTTAGAGGGTTGGGGTGTAGTTAACTAGTGGGACCAAACATATTTACAACACCCAACTGGTCTCCATGCACACTTATCTCTGACACGTTAATTATCCAATTAATGGGACATAAATACATTGGGCAATCTGAATTATCCATTTAATGGAACATAAAAAGCAATCCCATATTTTATTGACCCTCCAAAAGAAGCAACTTAAGTGACTGGTCGGTGAAAATTTTGGACTATAGACCACCCAACTATTTCATGAAACTAGATGTATGTATGCCCAGATATGGAAATGGAATGGGTTGGCCAGGGTTGAGGCCTTGAGCAATCCGACCCATCCCAAACCCAACATGTCTTTGTATTTGTATAAATAAATATTATACAACTATGCATGCACCCCATCCATCCATACATCTATGTGTGTGTATATGTATACTTGTATGCAAGGTTCAAAGTATTGATACATATACGGGCCGATACGTATCGTGCCGATGGCTTCCCAATATGGACCAGACACTGGTTCAGAGGGTAGCTGGGCCTCAAACCGACCCCTCTGAACTGGATTTGGAAAAAAATAAATAAAACCTAAAAAAAAGTACCGACACAGGCCGATACGCTTGCTTGTATGTATCAACAATTTTAAGTTTAAACATTGATATAGTACTCTTAAAGCATTGTAACCTTGTCCCCATATATGTATCAATGTTAAAGCAAATCAACCTTAATTGGCTAATTGTAACTCTGAGAAGTCAGAACATTTTTCTTTTAAAAGCAAAAAGAAGTGAAGAAATTAGGCCAACCTGATCCCAACCATTAGGTTGAGTTAGAGTTAGGATTGGGGGTCCAACAACTTTCAGCCCGACCTAACCCAGCCTAACTTGCATTCTTAACCTACGGAAAACATGCTCACCAATTCTGACTGTCCAAATATTGTGGCAGTTGGATATAACAGTCTGATAAGAACCATTTTTGATGGTCGGACATGTATCTGAATCTTTTTCAACAAAAATCTTATGATATTGTTTGAATATTAAGATCCAATTCATAATCTTGCGATTTATACAAATAATGTGATTCAAATAAATTTAATTAAGATCTAGTTCTCTACTTTGTCATTTCTTTGTTTCTTTTGATTTTATTAATTGGTTTTCCTTTTAAGTAGAAGACCTCTCTTTCTCTCTCTCTCTCTCTCTCTGATTCATGATTTGATTCACTTCAATATTCTTTATGAAAAGGATATGATTATGATTTTTGGAACATTGGTCTACTCTTCATGAACAGAATATTTACTTCATATTTATAAATATACTAGAAGATTTTACACATCCATCTTCTCCTCCATTGGTATTGGTAACTTGTTAAAAGTTAAAACAATGGCTTCTTCTTCTTTCCCTGATAAGACCCTCCCCCCCCAAGAAAAAGCACAATACAATGAATTTTCTTCTTGTGTTGGATGAAATCCTTCTGGCAATTCCTTGAAACTAAAATCTGTTACTTCAACTGTCAATCACCATAGGAAAGAACAACACCCTCACCTGTTACACAAATAAGAATTGGCATTGCTTCACATTACAGCCATAAAATCAAAACTTAAACTTCCTAAGCAATTACTACCTAAACATTGATCTCAGAATCACTGTTTGCGCCATTATATGCATGTTTTAGATAATGCGATAAACAGGTGGAGTAATTTCTGGTTTCTCCACATTAGAAATGACAGAAAGAACTGCCAAACATGAGATAAACTCTGATTAATGACTAAAATTAGAAATGGTATGGCATAAACAATCAACATACTTCTTTCATGAACCACAGTAGACCAAATGCTGTAAAATCACAACCTTTATAATGACAACTCAAAGACAACTTCTCTTGAAGCCAAAATGTTAAACCTGAAAGCAACTTGGTGAGATGATCATTTTATCCTTGGAGAAGTTCTTGAACAAGTGCTCTTTTGTTGCCTCTTTCTCATATACTGGAAGGCTAAAACACTAGTTATTATAAGTATGCTAGAAACTCTGGTAGTTTAATCACATTAGGTGAGTTCCAGTCCTCCGGAGTTAGCTTTTCCCCATCCTCTCCGAGTTGAGGAAAGCTACATCTAATTTTTTTGGAGATAAAAAATGGCATTCCACTGTTACACAGAAGGCAAATCTCCTCTCTGATTTGCACTAACTTCTTTGAACATTTAGTTGCAGATTGTAAAAATCCATCTGGTGTTCCAAAAATAGATTGAGTATAGGAAATACCCCAAGGGGAAAGAAACTCCTCTTTAAGAAGCTAGAACTAAGAGATAAATTATTTCATAATAATGGTCATGGTATCATATGCCATAGATTGCAACTGGTCAAATCATTTCTAATGAATAAAAAGATTATAGATTACCTATAAAAAAAGGATCATAAACTTTTGTCTAACCTTGTTGACCGTGACGATTATTTTCTCTCAAATTGAGACAGGTTCTTATGCTTCGGGTTCGTCCATTAGTCTTTTTACTTGAAGATAAGTGATGCAATACACCAACCATTTGAGATAATGGGAGCTTGGGCCTATTATTTTACAACATTAAGGACCGAATACCTTGCTAATAAATGATAAAAACATTACATGGATATTCGTAAGTAGCCTTACTTTTTTGAGTTTTCCAAACTGAACGTTAATACACAGAAGAGCAACCACCAGACTAAACGTGAAGCACTCAAACTACACGAACAATGATAACCACTTCAAGAAAAACCAAAACATCAACTACCAGACTTCTTACAGTAAAAACCAATTATTGTAACTTGTTACATGAAACTTATTTCAAGATAAACTATCTCTAATCTCGAAGAAAACACGGAAAAGAAAGCATTGAAATTAGGACCCAGATGGTAAAACCAGCAGAATCCAAAGTAAGCTAAAACCGAGAATATTCCAACACCATTAGCAACGCCACTCTGACGCCCCACTTCTAACAAGTCCATTCAATAGAACTAAAGTTACTAAAACTACACAACTCTAGACACTAAAATCAGCTGGTAAGTTCTACTACCAAAGCCCAGACCATGAATTCCAGAGAAACAAAGAGTAAAACAAGAGTAGGAACTATAATTACCTCGAGAGCGAACTTATATCGACGAAATTTCCTGAGTTCCTTGACAACCCGGGAAAGCACCCATTTCGAAAGCTTTCTTCCCTCCTTCTCCCACTGGTCCAAAACAGTCGAAGAACCCAACTCGGGGTTCTCCATCAACGAGATTCTCCGATAAAGCGAGTTCCATTTCAGCACAGGCTTTCGCTCGTAATCTACAGTTCCGTAGTTATGAACCTGAGAAATTGAACAGGAAATGGAGTTCTTCGGATTTGGGTCCGTTCTAATAACAATTGAGCGACGAACCCCTAGAATAACAGGCGAATAATGGGAAGTAGATGAAAGAGGGAGATGTTGCAGAGGAGATGGAGCTTGAAGCGCGGTGTAAGCAATCATTTTCCTTTTCTCCTCTCTTGTCTGAACTCTGGATAGAATGGATATCGAGGTGGGGAGTTTGGACTTGAGAAGAAGAAAGGGTTTTGGGCCTTTTGGGGGAAGTGAGAGAACGACCCGGAAACGGAACCGTTTTTGTCACCGGTTTCCGGGTCAACGGTCCGACCATCCGGTTCGAACGGACGGTTCGTTCTGACATGAAAATTTAAAAAATAAAAAAACGATTAAAAACCGTTGAACGGGTCGACAGTTCAACGGTTCAATCGCCCGGGTCGGCAGTTCAACGGTTCAACCGCTCGGGTCAACATTTTGTTGAGATTTTCAACGGTTTTTGACCAGATTCAGGGTTTATGCAAAAATGGAACCGGCTGCCTAGACAATTCCCGGGCTGAACGGTTTGACCGTCCGAGTCAATGACGGTTCAAAAACACTGGGTATAGGAGACACACGTTCTTGTGTAACCCATCAAGCGTGTGAAATTTCATGCGGATTGGAATTTGGATCATTGGATGAACCCCGAGTTCGGATATTCTCTCACGGAGCGCACCTCACACCGACCTTACATCACGAACATCCTCCTATCAATAAATATTTACAATTACGGAGAGTCTGGGTCTGCTCCTCACATCGATCTCACATCATGTATTAGCCGTACATCGGGAACATCTCTTGTACTTGTATGTAATTATTCAAGAGAGGTTTTCTCAATACTAGTAATTAAGCACATGTGTTGTATGTGAGAATTTTTTCTTCATATTAATTATTTGAATTTTAGATATATCATAGTGAATAGTGAAGATAGAAATTGAAAATTAACAAAAGTAACAATATGATTAAAACTAAACTTAAGTGCTTGTTGTAAATATGCACGTGCATTGTATGTGAGAATTTTAAATTTTAAATTTATTATTATTATTAAACTTTTTGTATTTCATTTCTATGATAAATAAAAATATTTTTTATTTTAACAATTATATTTATTTAATATGATGAAATAGAACATTAGAAATGATTACAAATGTTTTCGACAAAATTCTACACTTTTTTCATTTTTTGTGTTCAATCTTTTTTAAATATTAATTACTCAATTATGACATCATGAGTTTATTTGAAAAGTTGGACCATTAATCCACCATATAAATAAGAAAATAGCTTTGCTTTTAGATTAATTTTAAGTAATATGTTTCATCTATACATTATATAAATACTTTCTACTTATCATACTTAATTTTTGTTTGACATAATTAGTATATAATTTTTTATATATTATTTTGATTACTTGTACTTTTTTATTTTTTAAAGATTTACTATTTAACTATCATATAATCGACTAATCCATTTGATAAAAACCACTAACTCACCACCTAAAAAGAAAAATAGTTTGATTTCTATGTTGACACTAAATTTTGTATTACATTTTCATCATTGGTAAAATTATTTTTTATGTATAATGCTTATTTTTGTTCAATATAATGAATGTATAATATTAGATATAGTTCATTTTTTATAAATATATAACATTAGATATGTGCCAAAATATTTCTTTATTTTTTTTTAATTTTTGTGATACTTTGTATTTTTTATTTTTAAAAATTTTATTATTTGACTATGGTGTCATTTCATTTCTAGGTTGATTTTAAATTTGGCATTCCATTTTAAACATTAATAAGAATACTTCTTACATTTCATACTTGTTTTTATTTAGTATATAATGAATGTACAATATTAGAGATATGCCGAATTCTTTTTATTTTTATTTGTATTATATATTTAATTTAATTTATTATTTAATTAATATCATTTATTAACCTATTTGACCCCATATGGTAAAATTGCTTACCCACCACTAGGAGGGAAGAAAATGGTTTTGTTTTTCAATTCATTTTTTAAAATATTTATTTTTATGTTATTAAAATTAATGTTATGGATTTAATTAGTAGAATTTAAAAATATAGTTTTAAATTTTACATTCCATTTCAACCATTAATAAAATCATTTCTTATTTATCATACTTATTCTTGTTTAATATGCCAAATATATGATGTTAAAAATTTTCCCATTTTTTAATTTTTATATTTTGTTTTTGCATTTTATTATTTAATTGTGACAACATGGATTGTCCCATTTGATTGAAAATGATTTAATTTCTTACCACCACCTACATGAAAACACTTTTTCCATGGTATATTTTAGAAGTATAAGTTTTTGTGTTATTGAAATTATTAATTTATTATATATGAATTTAATTAATAGAATTTAATGATGAGAAGAAACAAAAATGCCCTAAATATATGATTCAATGAAGGTGAATGGAAGTTAATACCTTAAATGTTGGATTTAATGAAAGGGAGTTGAATGCATTGAATATCTTAAAATTACCTAATTTCAAGTCATTTAATATCAATAACCAATTACCCTATTTGCCCTCTTTTTTTATTAATAAATTTAAATATGGAGGGGTAAATTTTATCCTAAAAAAATCTAGAAATATTATTGAGGCTATTCATACTTTTTAAAAGTAGTATACATATGGTGGGCTGTGGCCATGAGGTCGGTGTGAAGAACACTATAAGGAGCAGATCCCAATTCCAATTATGAAGATGTTGCAGATGTATGACTGAAATGTGCTGTGAGGTTTGTGTGAGACATGTTCTATGAAGAGTATTTCCGAACTCTCTACCACCTGGATACCTCAATTGAATTGGATTGAATTTGATTTGAATTCGAATCCGATATGTTTTCAAGTTGGGAAATCAATTTATCAATAATCAAATTGAATTGTCTGAATATGATATATTTACTAATTGGATCGGATTTTGACATTAGGTTTGAATAAATTTATTTTCATTTATGATATACATCTTTAGGGATGACAACCATATGAAAGTTAAAGGAGGGTTTACCCTCCCCGCATTCAAGAGAGGGGTGGATTTTGTTTAGAACCTGCATCTATTGCCTATTATTTTTTGTTATTTATAAGCAACAAAGAAGAAAAATAATACAAACAAACAACAAAACTTCCAATCATTTGATTAAGACATGTAAAAAACATAAACTATCAATTATTCTTCACATAAAATTCAAAGTATTATTAAATTTAACATATAATAATAAAGTTTATATGCTTTCCAACAATATGTGGGTTGGGGAGGGTCGGGTTTAGCCTAACACCCTACCCTATCCATACTCATATGTGTTCTAGAATCCCAAAATCATCCTTCAAGCAAAAAAATCTGCCCCGTCGGGGTGAGTACCCATTGAATAGGGTAGAAATTGCCATTCCTATATAATTTTGTTTTATAATTAATTTTATAAATTTTTGTTAATTTTGTATAAATTTACTAATATTTTAACAAAGTTGGATATCCAAATATATAATTGATTCAAATTTAGATATCTCAAATTCTTTTTTGGTCTATATGACTTTTAAATAGAAAGAATTGGTAAAACATGATTCATGTAGTAGACCCATATAGATAGGACAAGGAATGGATGATGATGATGAACTTCTTTTTTTTTTTTTTGTTTGAAAATCTGATTTGGGTATATCCCCCTACCAAGTTCAATTTGATTCCCTTGCAAATCCTACCTACCTCTTGGGTCTTGGTTCATGTCTAGTAATGTAAGTTGTGTTTGGTATTACTAGCCCACGATGCTTCCCTACCTTCGGAGGCTGACCTCGTTCTCCACGACACTCATGAAGGCCTGTGTGGTGGACACTTGGGAAGTAGGGTTCTCGCCTAGAAAGCGTTGCGACAAGGATATTACTAGCCCACGATGAAGGCAGACGCACTCAAGCTCGTCAAGAAATGCGATAAATGCCAAAGGCACGCCAACCTTCATCACCAACCTGCTATCGACCTAAAGTACCTCACCAGCCCGTGACTCTTCGCACAATGGGGAATCGACATTCTTGGACCATTTCTGCCAGCGACAGGACAGAGGAAATTCTTAGTGGTAGCAGTGGATTACTTTACGAAGTGGGTAGAGGCAGAACCCTAGAAACAATCACAGCTCGAACTATACAAAATGTTTTTTGGAAGAGCATAGTATGCCGCTTCGGACTGCCTCGAGTGCTCATTTCTGACAATGGAAAGCTGTTCAAAGACATCAAGTTCCAGAACTGGTGCGCCGAGATGGGGATACAACATAACTTCACTTTGGTAGCACACCCTCAGGCAAACAGGCAGACGGAAGTCACGAACAGGGCCATACTCCGCAGACTGAAAGCTCGCTTAGCCCGAGCTAAGGGGCTATGGGTAGACGAGCTTACCAGCATACTATGGGCTTACCGAATCACCGTCAAGACCGTCACAGGTGAAACCCCCTTCAACCTCACCTATGGCACAAAAGCGGTAATCTCATCCGAGATCGAGGTACCTACGTTACGCCAGGAAGCATACGACAATGAAGAAAATGGTGACGAACTCCATACCAACCTCAACCTGGTGGAAGAAGTACGAGACCTCGCATATATCCAGACCGCAACCTACAAGCAAAGAGTAGCTCGGTATTATAACGCTCGGGTCAGGAAGCGGCACTTCCGTGTTGGGGACCTGGTCCTCTGGAAAGTTATGGTACCTGAGCCCGGTGTAGGTAAGCTCGGACTGAACTGGGAAGGTCCCTACCGAGTAAAGTAGGTACTCGGGTAAGGTATGTATGAGCTCGAAACCCTAGAAGAAAAGAAAGTACCTCGAGCCTGGAACATCAGCAATCTAAGGCGATACTACCTGTGATTGCCAGACTGAAGAGCGAACTACAAAGACAACCCCAAAAGCAAGTAAGCAAGTTCTAGCTCTCAGACTGTGATTTTTAGCTCTCAGTTTACTATGAGAGTACTGACTTAAGCATCGGAGTGACCTCACCGGGTTAGTCACCCCGGGTCCTCTGACATTTAGTTCCTTGCATGTCTCTAAAGAGCATTGAAGCTCATCAATCCAGTTCGGCACCTGGTCAGCCCGACACCTGGTCAGCCCAGCACCTCATAGGCAGTTCGACACCTGGTCAGCTCGACAGCTTACAAGCAGCCCGACACCTAGTCAGCCTGGCACCTCACAAATAGTTCGGCACCTTGTCAGCTCGACA